GAAGTTTTGTTTTATTTCTTATATCATTGTCTGGTTTTGCTATGGAGTCAGTTCTATTTATTTATTTTTTAAAAATGTATTGGTATGGGGGAGCTGGTGAGATAGCTCAGTGGACTAAGTGCCTGCTGATCCCTGGTACCACATACTGCACTGGCCCTGCCCACGGGTACACTGAGCCGGCTACTGAGTCCAGGCATGGTGGCATATGCCTGTAATCCCAGCACTGGCGAGACTGAAAATAGGAGGATCACTGCGAGTCTGAGCTGCATAGTGAGACCCTGTAACGAATACATAAATTAAAAGAAAAAAACAATGGAGGGAGAGAGACAGGAGAGAGGGAGAGAGAGAGAGAGAGAGAGAGAGAGAGAGAGAGAGAGAGAGAGACAGAGACAAAGAGACAGGATAGACAGAGAGACAGAGAAGAGAGGACAGAGAGAGAGAGAGAGACAGAGAGAGAGAGACAGAGACAGAGACAGAGACAGAGACAAAGAGACAGGATAGACAGAGAGACAGAGAGGAGAGGACAGATAGAGAGACAGAGAGAGAGAGAGACAGACAGACAGAGATAGAGACAGAGACAGACAGAGACAGAGACAGAGACAGAGAGAGAGACAGAGAGAGAACCCTCTTTCTGTCCCCTAAGTTGTATGCAGGTTACCTGACCTAGGGCAGGTGTAGTGCTCACACCCTTTATCTCAGCCAGAACTATGCAGAACCATTCAGTGGACTGATGAACTAATCACACACTCTTAATCCCACCATCACACACTCTAGATTCAGCCACCTTTGAAAAAACCCAAGACTGCAGGAGGTTTTTGGGGATACAACTAGACATAAACCATAACAGTTTCTATTTATTTTTTTCTTGATAATGACTTTGACTGGAAAAATAAAATCTGACATGTAAAAAGGTACTTGGAAGGAGAGCCCTAATCTATTTTTGTTGGTAAATGCTTAAGTGACCTAGAAGAGAGTCTTGAGATGTCTAAAGTATCTTAGTAGCATATGCTTGAAGAGTTTAAATGAAGCATTTCCATGTTACAAATATAACAAAACATCCATTGATGCTTTATTCTACTGGGCACAGTGAAAGGATTCATTACATATATATGTTATGGTTCAAAAAATACAATAATCAAATTTCCAAAAGGCAAAGCAGCAATTGAACTATTGGGGTATTAGAATCAATCAATCAATCTTTCTCTCTCTCTCTCTCTCTCTCTCTCTCTCTCTCTCTCTCTCTTTCTTTCTTTCTTTCTTTCTTTCTTTCTTTCTTTCTTAATAGCTGTTTTCTCCACATTTGAACTTGGGGACCTGAGCAGAAGGAAAGGACAAATACTCACGCGAGTCTATTTTTATCACGTTAAAATTCTAGATTCATTCAGAAAAATATATTACTTTTTAGGACAGGGATAATTTGATGGACAGTAAAATCATGGAAGAAGAGATCTGTTGTCCTTCCATGTCTGGGTCTGCCCATGTGTTTAGTGATTATCGGGGGTGGGAGGTGGGGAGGTAGGTCCACTTTCTCAGATAGGGATGGAAGGTACGGGTTTCCTCTTGTCACACTCAGTATTACTAATTTAATAAAGTAGTCCATGGTCTCCAAAGAACTACTTTCCTGAAAGCATTGCCACGCTATTCCAATCTGTTCCCTGAGTTCTCCATCGCCATACCCTTTGCTTACAGCCCTCTGGACCTAGTGACTTAGGCTGCCTTATCTTATGCTTCATATCATATCAATCACAGAGGAGAGAAAAAATATAAAATTTTACCTGCTTTAAATCAATGTCAATTTAACTCCAAGACCTCGAATTTGGACTTGTGAGAGATTTACTCATTCACTGTCAGGTTCTCCACAGTGCCTCAAGATAATGAGAAGAGCTGTGTTGCACCAACATTCCCATCACTAGCGAGAATCCTCCAGCAGTGGAATCTGGCCTACACTGTTCAGTGTGAGGAACCCCATAGTTTGGGAGCCTCTGATTCCTTTAAATAAAACAGCTTGGCTGGGGTGGGGCCTCAGTCTGTTCATGGAGGCTGGAGTCCTCTGAAGGATATGGCCTTTCCTTGGCTGGCCATTTATTCTTCTCAGGATCTTCCACCACACAGCAGTGCTGGACAGTATGGAGAGCTCCGTGTCTGAGCCTATCAGGAATCTGTCACTCCTTAACAGGGGTCCCAAGGGACGACATGAGAGCCAGGTGTCCAGGGTGAAGAAAACAGCGCAGCCACCATAGGCTAGTCTCTCTCCAGAACAAATCCTGAGGCAAGCATTTGGGTCCAGGTGATTTATTAAAGAGAGTATTCCCAGGGTCAAACAGTAATTGAGCTGGAAAGGAGTGATTGGAAAGGGAAAGATGGGGGAGGGAGATAGTTCAGTTGTCTAAGCATCTGCCTGGAAAGCACAAGGACCTAGGTTCCATCCCTGGTGCTGCATGCTATGCCGGCTCAGTGCTGAGTCAGCTACAGAAACTAGGTACAGTGGTACACACCTGTAATCCCAGTGCTGGGAGGCTGAGACAGGAGGAACACTATGAGTCTGAGCTGTGTAGCGAATTCCTGTACCAAATAAATAAATAAATAAATAAATAAATAAATAAATAAATAATATTTAAAAGAAAGAAAGGGGAAGACATCAAGCAAAGGTATTTTCAACTAACCTCCTAAACTCAGCCTCAACTCAGGGATCCTAGAGAATGTAAACAACTCCTGAAGGAATGGGACACAGGCTTTTATACTTCTGTATTCACGAGTCACTGGTTGTAGGCTCCTCTGAATGGACAAAAGGGGACAACAATCAAGGTCATTTTTACTTCTTTCTTTAAACAAAGTGGTGCCCATGCCCAAGGCCTGGCCTCTGAAAGATCCAGGTGCCAGCTCTCAAAGAACCCCAGTGGAGAAGTTAAAGTATTGATTCCCTGAGTTGCTAAAAAGGTATGAATGGCCCTGAATGGGGTGACAACAGTGTTCCTGACAACAGCCGCTACCACAAGGTCACACGGGCTTCTGTAAGATGGCATCACAGTGACCCACTCACGTGGTTGTCCTGAGGAAAAAAGGAATCAAGAATAGAAAAACATTTTCTTTGAATGTTTATGTGAAGGAATACCCCAGTGAAAGGCACTGATGACTGGGGTTTTCTAATAGTGTGTATTGGTAACATGGAGTAAGGAGATCTATCTTGGTATTTTCGTACATGAACATAACAATGTTTTGATTGTTTTCATCCCCCTTACACCCTTCTATCTTTCCTACCTTCATCCTGATCTCATGCCTCATCTCTAGATGTCCACCTTCTACCTTCCTGCTGTGACTCTTTTTGGTCACACAGTAGCATGTAGGGACAGGCTACACTTAGCGTGTTATGTCACCATGCTGAGCCCACAAAGTAACAGGGCCTTGTATTATTGATTATTTGTCATAGGATATTTTACTTAGCAAAGTAGGAGCTTGGTGCTCCCTCAGGCCCTGGATACGGATGTTTTAAATTCTCAATTGGCTTTGTCTGGAAGTATCCGTCATACTGAGCAGGAATGGAACATAAAACTTTGAAAAATCAAAGAGAAAAGAATCATGAATCTGTTTGGTGGGGAGATGCAAAGGTTTCTAAAAAGAGAACATGTAGGAGAAAAAAAAGAGATGATTTTGAATGTAACCATGGGGAAGAGCTCTGATGAGGTGCAGATGGTCTGTGTACCCACCAGGTAGATGTCTAACTGGGAGAGAAGAGGGTAGGGAAGGGGAAGCCTTAGAACTCTCCTCAAAAACATCATAGGGCAGCATGCACTTCGGAAAACACAGGAAATGAGAGAGAAGAGAGGACAATTCCCTGGCTGTTTGACATAGGAATATAATTTTAAGGATTTCTTTGTGCAAGATTAAAGATACACACGCACAGACCCCATAGTTGGTACCTGGATGTGTGAATCAACACAGGTTTTGCAGTTCATCATGGGTGAACATTACCATAGCCCCTAAAAAGGGAAAGCAATGTTGCAATCTACCCAAATAAACCTAATAATCATTTTTTCACTCATTATTTCTATACCATTCTCTCTCTCTTCTCTTGGGATGTCACTTTTATATTTATTTGTCTTCTCACTGTAGCCATTGTATCTCATATTTTTCTACACACTTTTCACCTTTTTCTCTCTTTGGCTGCATTCTGAAATTTTTCTTTTAAGCTACCTTTAAGATTATTAATACTCTTTAGTTCTGTTAGATTTGCTGGTAAACTCATCTGCTGAGTTTTTAGTTTCTGCCATTAAACTTGTGAGATTTAGTTTTTTTCCCCCCGTTGGTTACATTTGAGTGTTTACAGCTATCTGCTGAAGTTTGTGATTTTGTGTTTTATTTTCTTGAATATGTTTAGCATTATTACTTTTAAGTAGTGCCAGAAAATGCTATGGCTCACAGCTAGCTGTCCTCCCAAAGCCCCCTGCAGGCATAGATAGGGCTTTTCAGCAGTTGCTGGATCTAGGGTGTGTGATTCTGGGATGAAGGATGTGATGCTGGAGTTGATTCATGCAATGCTAGGATTAAGGGTGCCCCACCCTGGGTGTGAATGCTGCCCACCCTTAGGGAAGGAAAGAGGGATAGGGTGCAGGGACAGAAAGAGTGTTCCTGCTTGCTGCTTGCAACTTCTCTGCTTCACTGCCTTCTTCCTGCCCTGAGCTGTTTCTTCTCCATGATACCCCTCTGCCATCACTCTGCCTAGAGCCAGCCAATTATGAACTGAAACCTATGCAAAGAGTGAGTCAATTAAACCTTTCTCCCTCTAACTTTGGGTGTCAGGGATTTTTGTGTCAGCAATGAGAAAAGTAACTAAGGTAGATACCTAGAGTGTCTAACGTCTAAATCTTCTGTAATTCCTTTCCTCCTGCCTGTATTTCTCTAGATTTGTAAGCATACAGTCTTTCCTTCAATCTTAGTTGGGGCTGCTATAAAAGGGTATCACAAACTGAGTGACTTAAACAACAAACATTTATTTCTCACAGTTCTGGAGTCTGGGAACCCCAGGATCAAGGCGCTGGAAGAATCGTTGTCTGGTGAGGGCCTGCTTCCTGGTTCATAGAAAATGGTTTTTCTGGCTGTATCTGCCTGTGGGGGAAGGAAGGCATGAAGGACAGGAGGTCTCTGGGTTACCTTTTATAGGGCACTAATCTCACTCCTAGGGGATCCACCCTTGTGTTCTACTGAACTCCTAAACACTCTGCCTGCTAATACCATAATATTGGGGGTTTAGAATTTAAGCATATAAATTGGGGAGAGGCATTTTGCACATTCCATTGTATCCTCACTTAAAAGTGTGACTAGGCTCTTCTCTGATAACATTCCACAAGTAATAATTTAAACCCAAATGATAGTTCTTTATTATAAGATCTCATCAAGTTTAAGCAGAACCATTGATTTAATTATAGCTTTTTGGGGGTCAGAAGTAAGGAAACATTATCTGAAAAGTACACATGTGATCTGATTTTGGGAATGCCAGGTGATAAAAAGGCATGCCTCCGAGAGTTGTAGAAATACAATATTCTTTTGCAGTAGGCGGAGATGTTTGCAAATTCACCCATTAAATAGTCTTTGAAAGTCTCCTCAGTGAGAAAAACAGAGGATTTGCATCGTCCTGAGCTTTTGTGACCACCCCCCCCCAGGACTCAGGCACTTGTGCAAGGTCCCTGCTATTTAAATCCATGTTAAATACCATAATTATACAAGGGACAATCGAAGTATAGAATGAATGCTTAAATTAAAACCAAATTATTACAATGAAAAACATGTCACTCTTAATCCCCCCCAGAACACTCCCCCTCGCTTCCAGCACTCCTCCACCACCATTTTGGCCACTCTCTGAAGCAGTTCTAGCCAACCCCATTTAAGAGTGGCCTCCAAAGGTGAGTGCTGCTGACCAGTCCCATCAGATGAAGAGGCAGACTCTGCAAAACACTGGTGCGTCTTCGTCCCCCTTAGCCACCGCTGCCTGGCACTGGTGGTTTAGTGGTAGAAGTCTCACTTTATTCACCAGATCTGGCACTGTGTGACTTCTCGTTCTTCCCTAAATTCAGGGTATCCGTGTATATGTGCTGCCGAAGCAAGCACAAGGGTATCTATATAAAGTAAATGTGTTAATTCAGGACTTTGAGCCAGCCATACCAATGCAGCTGAAGACAGTCACCAAAGAGGACTTCCAGAACTGCTCCAGAGTCAATAATGATGGGCGAACTGTGCTCAAAGCCACGAGAAATATTTTGAGGGAAATTAATGATAGTGTGTTTTTACTATAATAAAATTTTTGAAGTTTAGCAGTCAAGACTTTGTCACTCACACCTTGTCTGATTCATGAGCCTCTGTGGACGATAAGTCACAGGGTAGCAGTCCAGCAGACCATGGAAGCATTTCCTTTCCCAAGGAAGAAAACCCAACCCTCGGTCTTACCACTCAACAGTACCAATGAGCAGGATTTCACATCTTCGTGTTCTGAGTATTGTAGGGCTGGCCTTAAATAGCAAATCTTGGCCAGGATCTTTAGCAAAACTCAAAATGTTGGGTGGCCAGACTTGAATTATATAAGTCAAAGTCCCTTGATAGACTAACTGGCTGCTAGAGCGAGGCAGAGTAGCAGGATAAGATCAAGTGAAAAATACAGCCTCATGTAAACAGAAAGCCATGTCTTAGTGCCATTAGGTGGTCACTATATGGGCATACAGGTCCAGTGTGCCCAAAGCTGAATTATGTTAGAAGTCATCTATTTATGTCCAGTTCCCCAATTTCTATGTTGGCAATTAATTCAAATTAAAAAAAAATTGCAGATAGGATGCACCATTTTTTTCCCCAAGTACTGGGACTTGAACCTAAGGTTGTTTTACTAGGTTATATCCCCAGCCCTCCTCCCCTTTTATTTTTGATTTTGAGTCAGAGTCTCACTTAGTCACCAAGTTGCCCAGGTTAGGCTCAGACTTGCCAGCTTCTTGCCTTAGCCTCCCAGGTAGGTGCCACCCACCTGGCTGGACGTACCATGCTTTGGCGGCAGTTGCAGTCTCTGAGCCCCAGTGGTTGTGCTCCAGGCTAGATGCTCAGAACAGAATGAATCTGTACTAAAAAAAGGCAGCCTTCTCGCCAAAGCAACACGTACTACTTCCTCTGTCTCTTCCTCCTACATCACAGTGGTGTTCCTGAAAATACCAGCACTGGGGTTTTCTGAGTCCATTTGCAGAATCCAAAAATGCACTGTCCTCTTTTATACCACCCGCAGTATTCTTAAAACAGTTTGCTCAATGAGGTCTTTTTTTCATTTAGGAGTTTTGGAGCCCCCCCCCCATTAGGGATATCGCTCATAATACATAGCCCCAAAGCCCATGGAGTGGACTGTATGGATAAACTCAGAGCAGACAAGCCACTTGTAGTAGCAATCTTTCCAAGTTGCTCAAAGGAAAGATATTTATTTTTAATTGTCAGATATTTTAGAATGATTTGTCAGGGGGCAAGCAAGTTGCTTGGAACGTAATTGGGGCAGTGAGAGGAAGACAAGCGTATTAAACGCAATTTTACATTCCGACAGCGGGCTGGGGGTGTTTCCTAGGGATGAGCCTGTCTGTTAAAGAGATAATTGCAAAGAAGCCAGGAGGCCGGATGGAGTGATTGGTACCTGGATTCAGTAGTCAAAGGTTGACTTCTTCAAGGAAGTCTCTGCCTTTGCTTGGGCAAGTCATATTCTGTGCTAACCCATAATCTACTTAAGAAAATTATATTACGTGTCTCATAGGGTATTTGGAGACTATGTCTCAGATTCTGTTCAGTGCTCAGAATAGCTGGTAATGTCATTTCTAATCCAAGTAGCTGTCCAATGGGAAAGAATAAAGAATAGAAATACCTCTGTAATGAATACTGAGTGTACAGATGGCGAGTTTTATTTGGAAATAAGGGGAAATTGTTGTATCTCTGCAGCAAATCTACTTGTGATTCTCTAGTATTATCTCCTCGTATTTTTAAAACTTAGACTTTTAGCACTCTTTTGTTTTTGAAGATGAAATGTAAAATCTACATTTATTTTATACGTGCACTTTTGGTTCTGATCAGTTCTACTTATAGCATAAGTAAGGAACTGAATATTCTGGTTTAAGTTTTCTAAGTGTTAGGGAATACAACATCAAAAAACAATAACCTCTGGATATCAGTTATAGTCTAGGTGAAGTACTTATTTTGTCCAAGCTTGCCCATCTACTAGGGAAGAAAAGGAATAAGAACATATAAGGGTCGGATCTGGTATTAAATGTATTTGATATTTCATTATGAATGAATACTTCTCCACTTAAGAATAAATCATTAAATCAAGGGAGAAGCCTAGGTTTAATCCCTGTATTTTCTATTATGAGATTTTTCTCGGTAATACTTTGGAACACCATTGTAAGCAAGTTCTATATCACGGTATTTTTAGTTTAATGAAATATGAAAAGATTCTATTCTAAAATGAGATGACTCAGACTTGTAACAGTTCTTCTTCTTTTTTTTTTTTCCTCTGTTTCTTACTTTTCACTTTAGTTCTGGAAGAAAGAAACTGTTCAGACCTTGGGGGCCCAGTCAACGGATACAAGAAAATAACTGAAGGCCCTGGGCTTCTCAGTGGGCAACATGCGAAAGTTGGCACCGTTGTTTCATTCTTTTGTAACAACTCCTATGTTCTTAGTGGCAACGAGAAAAGAACTTGCCAGGAAAATGGAGAGTGGTCAGGGAAACAGCCTATTTGCATAAAAGGTAATTTCTGGATGTGTCTGGGCTCTGCAGACACAGGTAGATTTGCTGTATTTTCTGGTAGCTCTCATGCATGCTTGGAGGCCCCCGAGAAATATCTGTTTCTTAACTCCTCCCTAGAACCATATATAACTCCTTGGTTGGAACTCATCCCTAAAATCATTTGCTTCTTTTATCTGGATATAGGGAGGACCTGCTTCCTTTATTGACAACATTAGGTGACAGAGAAGAGTGATATAGTTAGGGGAACATTTTGGGGGGAAATGACAGGGCTGAGGTTTGTATTTTGTACACATTCTGTCCAAATATGGAATTTATAAGCATTTACATGACCACAGTTATCTAATCCCTATGCAGTATTAACTTAATGCAATAAATTAAAAAAAAAAACATAGAGGCCCATCATTTCTGGCTGCCTATGTGGGAAGAAGATAGTGAGATTAAAATGTTAAAAAAAAAAAAACGACAGCAAACCTTTGAACATTCAAGAGACAGTTATGGGAACAAATATGTAGTTCAGAAGAAGACCAAGAGATCAACAGTCCTAAACTGAGAATAACTGTATGAAAGTTAGGATTGAGACCAGCCTGGAAATCTGGGAAGGCCTTGGAAATGTGATATGGATTAAGCATGATGTTGCAGATAGAAGACAGAGAAGACAAGTGTGAGATGAAGTGAAAGGATCCTGGGGAACTCGCAGTGAAGCAATCTAGTGAGCAAATTTTAAAATGTGAGTAGAAAGCTGGGAAATGAAAGGGCCAGGCTAGAACCGTCCCCATTCCAGTGGGGCTGCAGAGCTCCTTACAAATGTATTCGCTAGTTGGTGCAGGTTAGCACCAGCTCCTCTACTGGGGGACAGGTCACAATGATCTGACTGTTTACTGGGAAGAAAAGTATGTTCTTGTCCTAGATTATCCAGATAACTGCCTCCATCGTCCACTTTCCCTTCTGGGTGTTTGTCAACAACCTGGGTCCTGGGAAAAGAAATGAAAGAGAATGGCTTGTGAAAGGAATAAATCACTTTAGACTTTCGCCAGAAACGACTTTCATCCCCACCAGCAGAGATGCTGATGTTTTATTTCATTAAGTATGAGAACAGTGTCACATATGTCCTTGGAGGTTTTCTCAACTCTTCTTTTACAAATTAATACAACCAAAGTACTCTAAGTTGCTAATTAGACAAATGTTGGCTGCTTGATTGGGAAAAGGGAGATGGGGAGGATTCGTTGTTGTTGGTTTTTTTCACTTGCAGAAGAAAAAAAAAAGACTTCAACAAAATCAAACAGGGCTTTGAGCTGTCCTCCAGTGACTATTTGGGACTTTAATTGCAGAGAAAGGGCATGGGGAAGCCGGTTACTCAAGACTTGCCTGTGATTGACACTGATGTCTGGCTTTAAATGAGAATCTTTTAATTCCCTGTATGGGCTCTAATTTAGAAACTTCAGTTTGGATTTTATTCCATTCTGACCAGGTTTGCGAATGCCATTCATGTGAGTAGATACTCCTAACACATACTCCATGGTCCCAAGTCACCTGAGTGGAGAAGCTCTTCAGAGGCATCTACTGAGGTTTTTGGAGGTGACTACTAATTTAAGTGAAAGGCAGTATGCTTTTTTGCTAAGTGAACTGTTCAGACTTGGTTGACATACCTTGCCTCTGAGCCTGGGGAAAAAGAAGACCTGCTATCCAGAAGGATGGGTTAGGTGTGGATCTAAAGTTAGTGATATGAACCGTAAACATGGAAAAGGATTGTGCAACTGCGTCTGCTTCTTTCTAGCCTGCCGGGAACCAAAGATCTCAGACCTTGTGAGAAGGAGGGTTCTTCCGATGCAGGTTCAGTCAAGGTGAGTTAGAAACACCTGGACTCTGCTTCCAGGGGTAATGAATATTGCCCCTCCCTTTCCCTTTTCTCCACTTGTGTTTGGCCAAAGACAGTCTGGGGTTTCTTAGGGACATTGAATGCTAAATAATCATGAAAGAATAGAGCTTGTTAGATGGAGGCTCATTAGCCAGCTGCCTTTGGCCAAGAGGTAGTAACTGTTGGAATATGTACAAATTTTATTGGATCGTGGGAAAGTACATGGCTGGTGAGAAGCAAGACTTTTTGATTGTCTTTGAGGAATTGGATTTTAATAGTGAATCTGTGGGAGGTTATGATATATTTATTGTGGCAGCAACTGGGAGCTAAATGCAGCCAGCTGTGGCTTAGGAAGATGCTGTTGGTGTTAGCCAACCAGATTAGGCAAGCAGGTGCAGCCCAGGATCTAGAGATAGGGATGAGGGATTAGTATGCCAGGATTTTCTCCTGGAAGGGCAAGGTGAGCACCACCTGCTGGGGAAATAGCAGGCCCATTTCTACTCATCTCTTCTTCTGCATTCTCTTCCCTTCACTTTTTCTACTCCAGTACTGCAGGCCTCCTTTGTTTTCCTCTGTCACTCCAAGTACAGCTCTTGGTGCCATGGCTCCTTCTGTCTGGAGCCTGCTTCCACTTAAATTGTCAAGGCTTAGTGAAGTTATAAAGCTCTGTTCTCTGCTCCGTTTTCATCTGGAAGTGAGACTTGGCCCAATCGTCCTTGGCTGACTCCTTGACCCTGTGTTTCTTGCCCTTTACCATTTTTCTCTTTTCATCTTAGTATCTCTACCTGTTCTCAATCTCTCTCTCTCTCTCTCTCTCTCTCTCTCTCTCTCTCTCTCTCTCTCTCTCTCCCCATCTCCCTCTCTCCCTGTCTCCCATGCATCTGTATCATCTATATTTACATCTATTTATATCTATCTGCATTTTCTACCCTCACAATGCCAGGATAAAATACCTGCCACCATCTGCTTAAAAGAGGAGAGTGCTCATGGTTTCAAAGGTTAAGTCCATGGTTGGCTTGCTACAAGGGAGAGACATCACGATGGAAGAGTATGGTGGGAAAAAACTGCTAAACACATGGCATTCAGAAAGCAGCAGATTGGAAAGAGCCAGAGAGAAGGGGCCAGAACTACACATAGTCCCCAAGGTCATACCTTCATGACCCCACCTCCTAATAACCCTTTTAGCTATGACCTCATGACCCTATCACCTCTCAAGGAGTTTCTTAATCCAGTCAAGCTGATAATCAGCATGAACTAGCACATCATCCACCACCCCAAGTATAAAGGTAAAAAGTACAGGAACATTATGTGCCCCATGCATGCTGAAGTTCTAGGGCCAGAAACAGTGCCTGCCATATAGAATAGACTCCATAAATGTTATAGAATGAATTGGATTGGCAACCAATGTCTGTTGTACTCTTTCATCCTAGGTGTTCATAGACAAGTGCTTAAACTTGCTGAGCCTTAGTTTCCTCTTTTGAAAAATAGAGATAGTCATAATGGTCACTAGGGATTATGCCACACTAGCAGCTAATATTCACTACATGCTTCCTGTATGCCAGTTGGTTCTCTGCGTGCTTCCATATATTAGTTCATTTAACCCTCACTATATTCAATGAGACAGGTATTACTATTACTCTTCATTTTTTATGACCATGTTTATGATATGGATAAACTGAGATGTAGAGAAGTTGAGGAACTCGTCCCAGGTCACATTGCCCCAAGTGGTAAGGTTAGGATGTAAATTTAGTGTCTGGCTTCCAGGTCAAGGTCTGTGCCCTTGTGGCCCAAGTTTAGTGCTCATGCAAAGGCTTCAGGAAACCACCTTGAGCTTGGAGTCACTCATCCATAGCAGCTACTGTTAGAAACAGTCACAGTGAGTCCCCGTGACCAGCACTGATCCAGAATATTTGTGATTGAATATCCATCAATTGTTCACTCCTTAGATTCTCTCTCTCATTTTATTTTCTCCTTTGAAAGAAAGGCATGTTTTTTGGAACTGGTGGCAGTAGAATGCAAACTCTGCTCTTCTTCTGATCTTTGAGATTTCCCTGGGTAGCATCCCCTAATGTGGATTTCACCTATTCTTCCTAAAGTGATACCTTATAAGGAAACTTTGAATTATTCCAAACCACCACCAAGCTGCTTCTTTTAAAGGCGATCCTAATGGAAGATCTGGTGGCCATGTACCAGGTACTCAGGTGCAAGAGAAAGCAAGCCTAAAGCCTGGTTTTAAATATCTTTCTGGAAGATAGGCTGCAGAATTGGGCTATGTCTGTCCCCCATAGACGGGCCCGCATAGACCTAGTAGCCATGCAGGACTACATAGACCTTTAGCGACCAACAGATGAGTTTTGTTTTTTTCCAAGTTCAGAAGCACCTAAAATTACAGAATGGGTGTAAACAAGACGCAAATATTTGTTGAGTGTAGTCACTTTGGGTAGAATATTTGTTCTGAGCTAAGCACTTCAGAAATACATGAAGTAGATAGATTTCTTACAACAATATCAAATTGGAGCAGTAGAGATACCAGACTGGAGATTGTGATTGCTAAGCACTGTCTTGGGTGCCCTCTTCCTTTGCCGTGTACCCTTGGGTGCTCTCATTTACTTCTCTGGGCTTCCTTTCTCTACCTATTAAACAAATATGAAGACCCATTGATTCCTAGAGGAATTCTAGCTTGCCAGTTGGCAGTCATTTTGCTCCAGTATAAAATGAACACAAGCTTTACGGCGTGTGCCCAACTCCTCCAAGACCCCTGAGTGGTCTCAGGGGCTTGCACTTCAAGGCTCACTTAATAGCTCTTTTCCCATTTAGACACAATGTGAATATTTCTCCCATTCAGTGTTCCCTGAGAGAAGGTTCTATTCTCTGAGGTGAACTAATTATACCTGGTAATTGCTAAACCATGCTTCTGAGTCAACAGTTTAGTTCAAGTCAATTCCTAATATTGCCCCATTATGATAATGCTTAGAGAAAAAGTGTGCCTGAATTCTCTCATTCAAATTAACTCCCTTTTTTTGTTTAACTTTGCAATTGAATGTGTTCCTGTGTGTGTGTGTGTGTGTGTGTGTGTGTGTGTGTGTGTGTGTGTGTATACCTTTGGATAGCAGCTATTATGTCAGATATTGTTCTCTGTGGTTAAAAAAATCCTAGGCAGTTGGAAGCATGCCAGAAATGGAAATGGAGGACTAAGAAGATTGGGATGTGTATAGAATTTCAAGAGGTAAAGCGTGTGTGTTTGTGTGTGTGTCGATAGAGAGAGACATACGCAGAGACAGAGACAGAGAGACAGAGATAGGAAGAGACAGAGCCAGACCCAGAGCATGAGCCACCCATTTTTTAAAAAATCTTCTTCTGTAACCAAATACCTCTATGGAGATTGGTGTGGACACTAAAGAGGCCACAATGATCGCTTTTGTCCTGCTCTTTCTCTGGACCTGTGTGCCCCCACCCAGGGAAACACCATTACATCAACTCTACTCAACAACCTTCCGCAAGCAGAAACTGCAAGACGCCCCTACCAAGAAGCCAGCCCTCCCGTTTGGGGACTTGCCCGCTGGGCATCACCACCTGCACACCCAGCTCCAGTATGAGTGCCTTTCACCCTTCTACCGTCGCCTGGGCAGCAGCCGCAGGACGTGTCTGAGGACTGGGAAGTGGAGCGGGCGGGCACCGACTTGCGTCCCTAGTGAGTCCCGGCTCACCTTTGAGCTGGAGCATCTTCTGTTTCCCAAGGCTGCTTGTGCAAACCTATCAGTCCTGTTGAAAATGTCTTGGGAAAAATCTCTTTGATCAAAGCGATGGTCTTCCATTGCTTTTCCTAGTTTGATGTTATCTGAAACTTTCTGCAGTCAGAGCTTCCTTTCTTTGGCATTAACTTACACCCAGGAAGGGCTCACTCCTTGAATCTTAGGAACACATTATCTTATGGGTAGTTTTATCATATTTACTTGGGGAAAAGGGAGGGAACAGTCATTAAATGCCAAGTGGAAAAGCGTTTAAAGGTGCCAGAGGACCTCTAGCTACATCATTATGGTTACCCTAAGATACATTTTGTTTTAATGTCCATTATCCAGCGACATCCTTGAGGCTACTGTTAAGTAATAAGGTATTAGTTACTTCACATGGTTATGGTGACAATTATGTGACAACTGGTGCACAAATCTGGAATAGGTTCTTAGACACACTAAGTTACCTTTCCTGTCCTTTAGTAATTTTTATGATAGTCCTATTGATGGCATTAATCTTCTAAGAATCTGCTGAGGCTATTATTATTATATCCATTTTATAGGCTGTAAGAGATAAAGGCAACTTGCCCTAAGTCCTATTGGTAGTAAATGACTGAGGTCAGAAATCACACTTCATTTGACTGTGAAGCCTCCAATAGTAATTCTAGATGTTACAGCCAACCATGTCAATAGTAATTGCTTAATATGGAAAGGGCTGGGGATATAGCTCAGTGACACAGCTCTTGCCTGGTAAGCACAAGGCCCTGAGTTCAAGTCCCAGTACCAAATATATATTTATAAAGAAAAAGAAAACCAGGTTCAATGACATAGTGCTTGTATCCCAGGGTCCATCCTTGCAGATTTTTCTCCTTTCTGTATGACACATTCCCTTTTTGATGAGAAAGGTCTGAATTTATCTTACTGAATTGATTCTTTTTCCATAGTCTGTGGGAAAACTGAGAACATCACTTCTCCAAAGACCCTAGGGAGCCATTGGCCGTGGCAGGCTGCCATCTATAGGAGGACCAGTGGGGTGCAGGAGGGCAGCCTGCACAAGGGCGCCTGGTTCCTGATCTGCAGCGGTGCCCTGGTGAACGAGCGCACTGTGGTGGTGGCTGCACACTGTGTGACTGACCTGGGGAAGGTTAACATCATCAAGACTGCAGACCTCAAAGTCGTCTTGGGAAAATTCTACCGGGATGATGACCGGGATGAGAAGACCATACAGAGCTTACGGGTGAGAGAGGGCTCAACTTGCAAGGTGGGGCGCTGGATAGCCAGCTCCAAGCAGTGGAGAATGGGGCCTTATGAGCTCTGTCACCTTCACATGTCGCTTGTTATCCTACTGAACCTCAAAAGGAGCTCAGTGTTTCATACTGACAGATTGAGAAAGTGGCATTTGGAAGGATCACGCAATCTTTTCTCCCTTTACTTGTTTTAAAAGCTAAGGTAGAGACAAATATCACCTATCAATGTAGCCATCAAAGTCAGTCACCTCACAGTAAAAATATTAATAGCATGTATGATAAATTACAACAAATTAAAAATTAGTAAAATTATTTATTTAATGGCTTGCTCTCCCTGAAACCATCTGTTCCATGCATGATATAACTTTTCCTCATACTCTTATAGTCCAACACAGTCCCCAAATCATAGGAGATTAGTAAATATTTCTTCAATAACAAAAAGAGGTTAGTCACCTATTACATCTGAGAATTGTCCTAGATAGGCTTTGAAGACATAAAAAGGTTTTCCCTAACCAATTTACAGTGTACTTCTCTTGTTTCCTGCCCCCCCCCCATTTTTGGCTCATCTAACCATTTACCCATCCATCCACCCACCCATCCATCCATCCATTCATCCATCCCTTCTTTCATCCATCCACCCACCCATCCACCAACCCATCCAGTCACCTACCAACCCATCCATCCATCCACCCATCCATCCATTCGTCCAGCCCTTCTTCCATCCATCCACCCACCCCTCCACCAACCCATCCAGTCACCCACCAACCCATCCATCCATCCACCCATCCATCCATCCATCCATCCATCCATCCATCCATCCATCCAAACCCTCCCACCCATCCAGCAAGCCATCCATCCACCTACCAACCCATCCATCTATCCAACAATCCCGCCCTTCATCTACCACCCATCCACCCACCAACCCATCCAGTCACCAACCAACCCATCCATCCATCCACCCATCCATCCACCCATCCATCCATTCATCCATCCCTTCTTCCATCCATCCATCCACCCACCCATCCACCAACCCATCCAGTCATCTGCCAACCCATCCATCCATCCATCCATCCATCCATCCATCCATCCATCCAAACCCTCCCACCCATCCAGCAAGCCATCCATCCATCTACCAACCCATCCATCTATCCAACCATCCCTCCCTTCATCTACCACCCATCCACCCACCAAACTATCCAGTCACCCACCAACCCATCCACCCACCCACCCATTCATTTATACCTCCTCTCACTCCAGCTCATTCATCTGTCCATGCTCCTACCCATCTGTTCATCTATTCCTCCACCTCTTCCTCTGTTCTTCTAACTATCCCACCCTCTGGCCATCCGTTATTTCACTCCCACAATGTGGCATTCACTGGAAATAGACACAGTAAGGCATAACACATGGCTGTTTTCTCTGGAAGGCTCCCACTGATGGAGAGACACAGACCAATATGTCATGGTCAGCAAGACACGCGGAAATGTGTTCAAATGCAACGGAAGTAATGGAACATACACATAAAGAAGTATTTATACTTTGGGTTTCTCATTTAAGAAAACTGTATGATATGTAAGCTTGCACACACTGATGTATTGCACTTAAAATTATGGATTCAAGGTTCATTAATTTTCTTACAAGAGCAAAATAAAAGATAGACAATAGGAAGCAGGGAAGCAGATCTTTTGCATGTACATTTCCCAGCTACTCATAATGAATGCATACGCTGTGTATCACAAATGTGTACTAAAGAAAAAAAAAAGGTGTTCACAGGAAAAAAATTATTAGACTTCACAGATATGAAATTTAGAGGGTCCTAATTTAGGATTATTAGGAAGGCATGGGACATCAGGAAGACCAAGGAGAAGTGTTATGGGGTGCTACTGAACATTTTTAGGGGAACATTTTTTTTTCTGGAATATTCTAATGGAACATGACTTGATCTTTCTAGTGTGAAGGTACAGGAAATACTAGTAGTGGACCAGAGATTGCAAACAGGAAGCCCGCAGGGGCTTTGCTTTGGTGATGCTTACATAATTTCTCATCGGTTATTTGCCAATGCTAAAAGTTATTTGCCAATGCTAAAGTTCTGGAGTCCACGCTCTGGAAAAAGTAGATAAGCGAGTCCATTGCCTCATGGCAGTGCTCAGCCGACTGAAGTGGCCTCTGGCCCCTAGAGACGGATTTTGTGCATCTTTGTCCTTCTCAGCTTTACCTGTCTACTCTCTCATTTAAAACCATCTGTCAGGCCCTGGTAGGCTTTTTAGTTTGCAACCCCAGAAGCAGCGCAAATGCTTTCTGAGATTCCTTGAGCGCAGTAACTCTAAATAATTATAGCCGCCTTTGGGGCAGTTCCTCCCAGTAATCCAGCACCAGTGCTTGCCTGTTCTTGTCCACTGTGGAGCTGGCTGACCACCATTCTACGCATTTTTTGTCTCTGTAGATTTCTGCCATCATTCTGCATCCTAACTATGATCCCATACTGCTTGACGCTGATATTGCCATCCTGAAGCTCCTGGACAAGGCCCGCATGAGCACCCGCGTCCAGCCGGTCTGCCTTGCTGCCACCCGGGACCTTAGCATCTCCTTCCAGGAGTCCCACATCACTGTGGCTGGCTGGAACATCCTGGCAGACGAGAGGAGCCCTGGTTTCAAGAATGACAGCCTGCACTCAGGGACGGTGAGGGTGGTGGACTCGCTGCAGTGTGAAGAGCAGCACGAAGAGCACGGCATCCCAGTGAGCATCACTGACAACATGTTCTGCGCCAGCCAGGACCCCAGCACCCCTTCCAATATCTGCACTGCGGAGACAGGGGGCATCGCAGCTGTGTCCTTCCCGGGAAGAGCATCCCCTGAGCCACGCTGGCACCTGGTGGGGCTGGTCAGCTGGAGCTATGACAAAACGTGCAGCCACAGCATCTCCACAGCCTTCACCAAGGTGCTGCCTTTTAAAGACTGGATTGAGAGAAACATGAAGTGAGGCACTGCAGGTCCACCAGGAAGCTTCCTTGTGCAGTCATCCGCACAGATGCCGCACGATGCAGCGTAAGCCTCCCGTGTAATTTTGCTCGTGAACTTGACTATGCCAGGGCTTATGGTTTCAGTGGAGGGTGAGTATGTTCAGTTTTTGGTTGGCCGCTGTCTTCCTGACTGCTTGTGGAAGATACCAGAATCGAGCTTCTTCACAGAAGACCGTATGAACACACCATCAAACCTCCTCATTCAACTGACCTGGTGGCCTTTCCAGTCACTCAGAAATGCAACTATCTGGTCCAGCTGTGGTTTGGAGATGCTTGATCTGGGGGCACTGTAGGCTTCAAGGGGCCTCTTTGGAGGCTCCAGCCAATCCAAGTTTCAAACAGCTACCAGGAGGACATTCCAAGGCAATGGAGCTTGGACGGCACATGCTTTTGTGTATATTGCTACAGCACAGTCTGGGGCATTTCCTTTCCAACTTCTTTGTACACATTTTAATAAAACAAGGGTTGACTTCTTACCTACAAAACCAGTATACTCTGCCCTCATTTCTGCTTCTTTTTCCTTAATTGCCATGGAGGGGGCAGATGGCTCGGTGACAGGCCTTTAACACAGAGCTGAAGGTTATAATTTCCTAATAATTCGTGTGCTAAAGCAATCTTGTCTTTTTGATACCAAGCCTTGGAGCTTGATAAGTCACGCCATGGCAGAGCTGAGACATAGGTGCTACCAGACAGGGCACACACAGGAAAATAACAGGGATTCGCTGATTTCTAGTGTCCCCCTCCCTTCTCATTTCCTAGATCTAACATCAAACTCTTTGTCCTCAGTATTTTTGCTATAGCAATTATAGGCATATATAACATATCATCAAAATACACCGTTAATATTTACAGTAAAGTATTTCATACAGTCAAAGACACATTGCCATGAACCCCCCTCAGAATGCTCCCTCTCACTTCAAACATATTGCAATCTTCTTGCCAATTTCTGAAGCAGTTCTGCAAGTCCTCTTGTGAATGTCTTTACCAGATATGAGGGAAAAATATGATGTAGTCATGGTTACCAGGCACCACCCAAAGAAAGGGCAAGCTCATGAAAACATTCTGGTGTCTTTATGTCTCCTTATAAGATCTGGCACTGTGTGACCTATGGCTCTTTCCTAAATGACTACAAAAGTAAATATTGTGGATCAAGTTAGGATATCGAGGCAGTCAGGGCAGCACAACTACAGACACTCATGGAAGAAGATGCTCAGAACTGCTTCAGAAAGAATGGCAAGAATGACAGGATTGTGGTGCTTGGAGGAAGAGGCAGCATTCTGAGGGAGATTAACAGTTATCTATGTTTTGCTATAGTAAACTTTTGAAAAATTTAAATACTCATTGTATTTTACAATTCTGTCTTGTATTTACTCACACCAGATTTAGATGTGCCAACGTGCTTTAGCTTCGTTGTTTCTGTGGCTTAAGTCAGTTTTCTCACAAGGCCTCAAGGTCAAATTTTATCTCCCACTGAGCAATGGAGGCAAACAATGAATTCAGTCCAGACAAATATGGTAAGTGAAAAGATCTTCTTAGTAACACTCTATTTGGAGTGACTTACTCTTTCCTTATTTATCCTTTTGCTAGGTTAGTTTTCTACCAAATGGTGTCTTGGAGACCCGCATGCTTTGAATCTATAATATCAAGAATCGCCGGGGAGATGGCTCAGTGGAATAAGCGCTTCCATGGCAAGCGCAAGGGCCTGATTTCAAGCCCTGGCTCCATGAAAAAAAAAAAAAAAAAAAAAAAAAAGACAAGAAAAGAAAAATATGATATCAAGAATCTTAAAGTCACTATCCTGACTTCAGGTGAGCCTTTCCCATTCGTCAGAGCTTTGCCAAGACTTGCCACCAGCACAACTTAGGTTCAGTCTCGGCTTCCATAGGGCTCCATGGCCCTTTCTGCTGACCGGACTTCTCCTCAGTTCTTCTGGGGACTGATACTCCTGAGATGTAGTGGTGACTCTGGTTGATTCTCGTATAGGACGCTCAGCCTCATGACCACAGTGGTGACTTCTCTAGCTACCTCCCAAGCAGATATGTGTGACCTCCTCTCCCTCTCTTGGGGGTTTATGAGAATGTCTGGATCGCTTTTGTACCAAATGAGAGTGGAGGACACGGGAATGTTACAAGGCATGCTGGGAGACACAGTCTCCTATAGACTCAAGCAGGAACTTTACTCTTCCCTCCATCTATCTTCAGCCTCAAGGACTTTAGCACCAAAACAAGAGGTGGGGGACACATTTTTCTCCTGCTCTGCCTCCTTATCTCTGTGTCTTTATTAGCTGCTGATTCAGAACAGAATTACTTCCATTCTTTCTTTTTCCTTCAGGATTTCCTGGGGCTTTCCATATGTCATATCTTCCTCCTTTTACTGCCCCTCATCTTCATGGCTTAGTCAAAAACAGTGTATTAGTTATCAATTATGGATTACCAATTAACCAGATCTTAGCAACTTAAAAAAATGAATGCTTCTCCACTCACAGTTTGCGTGGATTGGTAAGAGTGGATTAATCTGAAGTGGCAGTCCACTGAAGCCTAGAATGAGGAGGAAGGATTTGAACCTATGGATATTTATCAGGTTACTCAAAGATTTTGTTTTAACCCTAGAAAGCTTGGATGTCAGAAAGCATCATGGAAGTTGGATCAAAGCAATATGAGTTTATGTTCCTATCTGCCAACTGCTCTCCTTCAAGAAGTTGGTTAGCCTGTCTGTGTCAGCTTCAGCACGTGCTATATTGTCACCATCAGACTTGGTAGCTGTGATGACTGAGTGAGAGATTGCATGAAGCAATTGGTTTATGCAGAGTATTATTTTTGGGGTCTTAAGTGTCCTCGAAAAGCTTGTGTGTGAAAGGCTTGGATGCCAATCTATGACACTACTGGGAGAGGGTGGAGCCTTTAGGAGGCAGAGCATGATGGGAGTGTGTTAGGTTGTCAGGGATGTGCCCTTGAAGGAAATACAGTGACTCCTTTCTTTTTCTCCATCTGGCAGTTTCTCCCACTACACATTTGCACCATTGTATGCTGTGCTGCCACACCCCTAAAGCAACAGCGCAGTTGGACTACATCCTCTAAATCGATGAGTCAAAGTAAATCTTTCCTCCTATAACTTGTCTGACTCAGAAACTATGTCTCTACAATTAACAGCTTTTTCTATCAACTTAATGTATGTCCTTTTTAGATAATATTTATTTAGATGGCCAATTATAGAAGCACTTACTCCAGAACAAAGACATACTTCCCTGAAACTTCCCCCAAATCATTTTGAAACCCAAATTCTGTAGGTTGTAACACATTCTAGGAGAGACAACTCTCAGTTTTGCATAAAGTTCATTCCTCTCCTTCATGGAAAGGAATAATAAATCCAACTTGTCAAGCTACATGTGTGCTTCTGGATATCTCTGTATCTATCATCTGTCTGTCTGTCCATCTCTCTCTCTCTCTCTCTCTCTCTCTCTCTCTCTCTCTCTCTCTCTCTCTCATTCTCTCTCTCTCATTCTCTCTCTCTCTTTCTCTCCTCTATTTTCAGAAAGATAAATGGCCTGGTTTGGACTTCTTCACCAGTGTCTGCAGTTCTATGTGGCAACATTTTTCTGGAAAAGAAAAACTTGTATAAATATTTTAATACTAAATGTATTGAGCAATCACAAAATTAATACACATTATCCTTGGCCTCCACAATTTCAAGAGGTGCTCAAAGTGGTGTTTAATAGCTTACAAATATTTATTAGTATGGCAAACTGGGGAAAAGTACATACAGATATGTATGTACAGTATGTCAGACTCTGTAAATGCTTGTAGGGATTTTACTTAGGTTTCACATAATGTATGGCAAACTTAAAACAGCGTATAAAATTTAGGTATGATTTAAGCAAGACTCTTTGGGAGTGGCCATGTTTGTACAGTTATTGGACTTCCACACATGACTAAGTCATCAGCTCATCCTGTGTTTTCTTACCTGAGCTGGGGCAGGAATTGAAACACAGGCGGCACCCAGAGAGGACAGCATCTACAGCTGACCACACTCCTAGGGTGGTTGGAACTTCAACCAAGTCTTGGGAGTGACAGGAAGGAAGGAAAATATTATAATTAAGGAAAACACTTGAAAAACACATACAATTAAGCCAATGAAGGGCTGTCTCTGTGAAGGCCCATCATGAACTCTAAAATGCAGTGACAACTCCATCTGGCTAGCCAAGGCCAGGCCAGTCAGGGAGGAAGACAATCCACATTGGAGCACAAATAACGGAGTTAATAATGTGGTTTCTTATCGCCCATTTGCAAACATTTTGCTCATGTTGCCAAGAGGGGGAAACATAGACATGGGTTCTAGGAAGGCCAGAAAGAGGGCTGTAATGGACAGCAGACTGTGGTCAGAAGGCCCACTCCAAGCTTAAGTCCCAGCTGCACCACTTATGCACTGTCATCTTGGAGATGGGGCATTCTCTGTCTCAGTGTTGATCTCAACTGTGAGATGGGAGTGAAACAACTGGAAGATTTGGTGAGGCAGTGCATGTGAGAGCCAAGCACATGAGCGGTAGTACCCAGCCTGCTGAGCGCTATGAACATTGGCTGCTACTATGGGTTTTCCTTTTTCTAATTTTAGAGAGAGAAAAAATATCAAAACAAGATAGTAGGATAATAATGCTTAATTCATTGCATGTTGTTATTGTTTCTTTTTTTCTGTGTATTTGGTACAGGTCTCACTTCGCAGATTAGACTTATAGTGGTCCTCTTGTTTTCAGCCTCCCCACTGCTGTGATTACAGGCGTATGCTACCATGCCCAGACTTGCATATTCTATCTTTAAATTAGTTACTCAGAGTACAAGATATTGGCATTTAATTGTTCAAGAAATATTAGCACAAACATTTCCTTTCAATGAATGAAGAGAAGTTAATAATGTAACTATCTTAACTAATCTATCATCTATTTACCTCTCTCTCTCTCTCTCTCTCTCTCTCTCTCTCTCTCTCTATATATATATATATATATATATATTTCCCCTTCATTTTCTCCACTTATCTATCCAAGTTTCTCTTTCCTTTCTTCTTGACCTCCAGGGTGGTGCACTGCAGCAGTGTTTCTTCCCATTTTACAATACCTATTGAACATTTTGGGCCTTATTTGCTCTTTCAGATTCTTACACTAGGGAGACCATGATTAAAAATGTGTTTGGCTTCTTTGACTTATGAGTATGGTCTCTAGTTGCATTCATTTACCTATAAAAGTTTCCAGTTTATCTTTCTTCATGGCTGAGTAAAACTCCATTATATGAGAAGATCACATCCTTTTTTATCTATTCCTCAGGTGAGCATGTGGCTCGTTTCTAAGACCTAGATATTACAAATGGTGCTGTTATAAACATGGGTGCGCATGTATTGCTGTAGTACAATATTTTAAATTCTTCCTCTGGGAAAATACCCAAGAGGAGAATAACTGAGTCAAATGGGACCTCAAGCCCTAGCTCCACAC